CCTTAATGTAGGTGTTTCTGTGAACACACCATTGCCAGGCTAGACAAAGAAACCCGCAAGACTTAACACAGTTAGTTTGCTCTTGGTCCCCAGGGACAGACATAGCCACAGGCCCTTTTGGCAACTTCTCAAATTGACGCTCTGGTCCCCGTGGCGTGGCCCAGTGGAAATCACTGGTCTTTTGTAATCAAATGACATAAATGGAGCAGCCAACCTTCCCAAGTCAGTGGCCAGGCTGTGGGGACTTCTGTGCCTCCGTTTCCTTGTGTGCGGAATAAAGCTAAGAACACCTTATGTGTACAAGGAAGGGATGCCTAAGACCATAATAAGAACGTAGGGCTTCACAGGAGACATGGCTCCGCGGTCATGACATGAGAACTCTTACTACACAGGAGACATGGCTCCCTCCATAAGGGCTAAAATGTTACATTTCTGTCTCAGTTACCAGTGGGGCAATGGAGCAGAAGGGAGAGTATAAAGCCAGATGGGCATTCATGTCAAAGTGGAATGTAGCAGAAGTGGTATTGTATATGAGCAGAGAAATAAAGGGCTGTTTATCAATGTTGGGAAATTATCTCATTCTAATGAAAGAAAAAAAAAACACATTTACATCCTCACCTCACTCCATAAGCAAAAAAATAAATAAATAAATAAAATCCAATGGATTGACAGCTCCAGTGCAGAAGATGCTCTGTGTGTGTGTGTTGGGGGGGGGGAGGATGGCTTGAGCACCTTGGGTCAGGGAGGATGTCTTAAACAAGTCAGAAGAAGCAAAGAGAAAAGGAAGGAGCTGATGAAAATCCCTGCTCCAACATGCACAGCAGACAAGGTTAAAAGCCAGTGACGGACACAAGAGAGACAAAATACCATCTCACTGCGTGCAGCCAAGGAAGGATTAGTGCCAGAAGATTGACGAAATGCCTGCAGATCAATACAAACAGGGAAAGGAACCCAGCTGGAAGATGGACAGAGGCAGTGATGGCTCAAATCACCAAAGGGAATGCTGGATGAGCGAGGGATGAAAAGGGGTTCTCACTGATGGGTAGTCAGAAAATCGCAAACCACAGGCACCAACTTACAGCTACGTTGGAAATGAATAAATGTTTAGATGTTAGCCATTGTTAGTAATTATCTGGGGTGGGGAATAGGAACCGCCACAGTGGTGACTTTGGAAATGCTTGTATAGTCATTTTGGTGAGCCATCTAACAACGTGTGTAGAATTTTGTGAAGACATACCCCATAGCACAGGAGTCTCGGGCAAAGCACAACAGAGGCCAGAATATGCACAGACGTGTATAAAAATGCTGGAATTGGGATGGAGAGATGGTTCAGCTGCTAGGAGCATGGACTGCTCTTCCAGAGGACCTGAGTTTGGTCCCCAGGACCCATGCCTGGTGCTCACAACTACCTGTAATTCCAGCTCTGACTCCTCTGGCCTCTGCAGGCAGGTTCACGCATATACTTACACTCAGACACACATTCATGCATATAATTAAAAATAATGAATAGAAATGCTAGAGCAGGGCCTGGGGAGCTGCCTCAGCTGGTGACCTTCTCTCACAGGCATGAATACCTGGGTTTGGTCCCCCAAACTTATAGTTTAAAAATAAAAGCCATGGTGGTTTTTGTAGTTCTGGGCCAGAGGGGAGAGGGAGAGATGGGAGGATCCCCAGGGTTTACTGGGCAGCCAACCTCATCTGTTTGATAGATTTCAGGTTGAGAGAAAGAAGGCTCAGAGGGTAAAAGCCCTTGCTGCCAGTCCTAATGACCTGGGTTCAGTGTCTTGGAACCAGCGTAGGAGAAAAAGAGAATCAGCTCCCACAAGCTATCCTCCAACACGCATGCACACAGGATGACCTGTGTGTAAACTTTTGATCCCCAGAATCCAAACGGTGGAAGGAGAGAAGTGACTCCCACAAGTTGTCATGTGACCTTCACATGAACATTGTGACATTTCATTGAAACCTGCACACACCCAAACACATACTAAATGGGGTGGGGGTGGGCCCGAAGAACACCACTCAAAATTGTCCTCTTGTCTCCACACACCTGTGCACAAGCACTCTGCACCCCCATGAATACTTGTGCACACATCTGAACATACTTACACACACACATTTGCATAAATGCCAGATACTAAATGTTGTTTTAAAAAATGGTAAGTGGCGCTGGTTACCATGTGGAAAGGTTGTGAGGCACAAGCCATGAAAAAACCCCAGTGTCAGAGCTTTAGGGGGGGGGGCAGGGTGCAAAAGAACCAGGCCTGGAAAGAAGCAAGTGCAGAGAGCTGAGAGAGGGAAAGAGAGATCGTGGGGGCAGGAGAGAACCCAGCAGAGGAGAGGTAGAGTCTCTGTCAGGCTCTTTAAGGATTTCCACACACATGCACAGGTGGGCTTACGGAGCTACGCCATGCATGCACTGATTGCGTGACCACGCCAAGTGAGCATAATCACCAGTGCACGCTGATGACGCAAGACCCCTTGCTTAGCTCCTGAACTGCACATGTGAGGTGGTGCAGCTGGAGTCGGGGCAGAATTCTAACACTAAGAGCAAAGAGAAAACAGTTTAATGTGTGATTTGCTCATGCAATGTTTTGGTGATGTGGAGCTCAAAGAAGATGAATTAATTACATCTGAGAACATACAGGAAGCACTGGGGATTTTTCAAAGGTGTCATGGGTAGAAGGTGGGTGTTCACCAAGTGCTTAAGAAGTGCCTGTGTGCAGCAGGAAGTTGGTGAGGCAGATAAACAAAGAGCAAGTGTTCCAGGGCTGGGATTGTTCTCTCTAACGTAGCACAAGCCAGGCATCAGAGCTAGTCACATCCATATGATTTTTCTACACTTAAAGACCCAAACAGTTACAAATAATAAAGAGAACATTCTAGAATTGAGACGAGGGGGTAAAAGTCAATTACCTATCTTTAATTTGTAGGGAGAGAAAGAGGCTAAGATAAACCTCGCTGACGTCAGCCATTTCTTCAGATAAGTGGCTGGCCCCTTGGCTGGCCCTTTCACAGTCAAGGGGTAATTGAATGTTAATTCCACTGACCTCATTTGCCACTGCTCCTCCATCCCCCAGCACCCCTGGCTGTCAGGCAGCATGCCTTACATAGCTGTCGACTTAATGTTTTCCTTTTGACTGAATTTTTTACCTGAGGCATTTCAGTCCTGTAACTTCAGCAATCAATTTAGGCCCAAAGCAGCTCAGGCCTCAGTTCCCTGGAAGCAAGTATTTGCATGCAAGCTAACAGCTTAAGCACCAGGGAAATGAGCTCCGTCCAAACAGATGGAAGGGAGGCTTTATGCTAAATCACACCACAGACAATTTGCCCATCCTAGAGTTGGGCTTTGTGACT